AAGTCCGGAAATGGTGAATGGAAGGGCGAGCATTACTGTGTATAGATACATCTATGATTTTAGTGTTCGTTCGCACAAACCCTGTCGATATCACTGACCTGTCGTGTGCGTGACTCGAGCTGGTGCAATTCATGATTTAAACGATAGCGCTGTTCCTTTGTGAGCACCGCATCTGGATCACAGATGCTCGCCGTCGTCATCATATTACATCGTTTAAAGTCACCGGCAGTCGGATTCGGAAAGTTTGACGCATCCCATTCCATTCGCTGACATTGCGCAAGTGCTATCAGAAGCAGTAACGACCAGAATGGCCGCATTTTGTACTTGATCATTTTTGTTTTATTTTGAGTGGTTTCTGACTGAAATTAATGATCGTGCGTGATTTGGTGATGAGATCCAGATCGTCGAACGAGTCTTGTCAGACAGATACACCGAATTGAACATCAATTGAAAGCTTTTGAAACTACTGATTGTGAGTTTTGAAACTTATTATAAACTTTTGCACGATAAAAATGGTTGCAGATGTGCGACATTAGTTGGCTGATTTGTGTGAACTGAGTGCATGGAACATACAAAACAACAATGAATAATGGATGAATATGCTGAATGAAAGCCTTGAAATCAGTCATAGTTATGTGACATAACTCATAATTAGGTAGTTATACAATAGTTGACGCTCATTCGAATGTCGAATCGCTGTTTCATTGAATATTTCAATCCAAGACTCTATTGCAATTGTTCGGATTGNAAAAGCGTACGAATGAAAGATACGCTCTTTTGGTTTTATCAAGCTGAACTAGACAGTTTATTGGGTGAGCTTATCAGTGATAATGGAATTTACACTCTGACTGCACGTAAACAAAAAACACTGACAGTTGATAACGCAACAATAACCGCGACTGAAAGAATCTTTTTTTTGGAATATGAACTTGATATCGATTTTTGAGTAGAATTGAGCACATAACTGCCCGCATTCAACTTTTTTAAATGGAAAATTGATGGAAAACGACATAATTGAGTTGGAACTGTAAAGTTCTGATATGAACTTTCAATCGAACTGATGTACTGATATTGAACTGATAAAATATATCGGTCTTGATGTAATGGACATTTGATTTGGTTTGATTTAATGTCAAAAAAGTAGGTTGATTCACAGCGTTGAGTCACGTCAAAAGCATCAGCTGATATTTCGCTGCCCTCTCCACATCCTCTCTCTTTATTTGTGGGAACATTTAAAGGGACACTGTTACAATTTGTTACAGCTTCAGCTGAAACCTAACCAACAAATACATGAAACATACGAAAAAGTTTCTGGGAATAATTGACAAACAACGGCTGAATGTATCATTGAAACGATCGCACGATACCATGGAAATTGGATTAACAAGTTACATTTCATGGCGTTACTCGATATCGATAGGTAAGTGCCGTCGAATGGGTGATCGTCGATATCGGAAATAATAGCTGATAGATTCCAGAGAGTAGGCATGAAAAGATTGATTTAAGCTGTCGATTCAAACGAGATTTCAACGCTCGTAAACGCACACCAAGCACAATAACAACGAGTAATGAGTAACAACGAGTCGAGGCAACTTCCGTCTCAATGCTTAAACCCTCACGATCGATACTGCTGA